AAAGATAGGATTTAATTTATTTGTTTTTGGCAGCAAACATTTAACAGGTCAAATTATAAAGTACATACTAAATTAATATCATAATCTAATTCTGAAAACTCTGAATCCTTTGAATTTGAAGATTCTACTCTAATAGTTGTCTTTAAAAAAATAAATGAATAAGATATTAATATATAATACTGAGGAGTTTTTAGCTTTTGCTAAAAGTATTTAAAATTTGTATATATTAGCATTATATTAAAATTTTGTGTTATTTTCAAACATATAAACAAGCAATCATTTCATACCTGTGCAATATGAATGAAAAGTTTCATTTACTATTAGAACATAATGTAACCAGATAAAAAACTTACCCGTCAATTGAATTGTTAGCCTGGCTATTTTCCAATGTTATTTTCGATAAATCTAACATAACTTCAACATCATTATTTTACTCACCACCATACTTTAATTAATATTATATAGTATTAAATTTTTACAGTCAATATTTTTGATAACTAATAATATAGATAAACTTACTGATGTATCATTTTTAGCCTTTTTTGATGCTTTATAATTTCGGTTGATTTTGCGCTTTCGAGCTAAATTTTCTAGTTCTTCGATTTCTTCATCTAAATCTTTATATTCAACCTATAGATTTTCATTATATTATTATATTAGTGTTTAATATTGTAAAAGCAAAATTCTAGATAATACTACATACCAAAATAGAATCATGTGAAGCTGGATAGTTTCAAGCTATTAGAAATAATTAATAATAATCGCAATAAAAATTTTATTTTAGTTCTTACTTCTTGGTTCCTTACTTTTATCAACAAAAAATTCCTGTTTAAAAAAAATATAATTAGAACTATTTAAAAATCTCATATTATGAAATACAATTATGTATTTATTAATACTCTTACTGGAATAGGATCATTAACAAAAACAAAAGGTATACCTCCTGATCCAATATTAGGTTCATTAATTATAGAAGTTCTTTCAATTTCGACATATTCAATATCACTCTTTTAATAGTGGATTAGATTAAAAAACTTGCTATAAGTTCTAATGTTAATTGAAAATTTTACCTGATTATTAATAATTGAAGTGATTGATAATACGTCTTAAAAATTTGACACACAAAAGTAAATGAGAATTTAGTCAATAATCATTTCTACTGAGTTGTCGGGCCGGTTTTCGAAGAGCTTAACCATTGATTAATTTACAAGTTCATTTTCGCTTGGTAGTGGACTATCTTTTGTCAATGTTGAAGAGATACATTCTATATTACTATGCTTTAGTTAACATTACGTCTTAATATTAGACTATCATTATTTTTTTTTAATTGGTTAATAGCAGAAATGTATTATTATTCACTTACATTATCATCCTTATCATAATTATTTTTTACTACCTTGAACACCTTATTTATTTCAGATTTAATGGTCCTATCTTGAGATTTCTTCCTGTAAGTACTATTTTTTGCTGAACTGATTTCTTTACTTTTTGCACGTGAAGAAGCTAAAGCATCAAATATCATTTTATTTATCTTCTCATCCGTGTCATCATATTCATCTGATCCAGATTCGATTGATTCCTTTATAAATTTGTTAAATTATTATTTTATGAATTTTATATTTTAATCGAAGTAATAAAAGCTTAATAATTCTACCTGATTATTCGAATTTAAATTTTGCGCTTTATTTTTTTGAATAACCTCACTTTCCTCAAAAGGTAGTGACACAGAATTATCACATTCAATTGAATTATCATCAGTTCGCAATATTTTTTCTCCCTTATCATCTATGTCCATCCTGTTAAGATTAATATCTTCAGCTTGTATAACATTTTTTTGAATCGTACAAGAATAGGTTACAGGATCCAAATCTTGAAATTCACTTCCTTGATCCTTCTAAAGATTTTCTATGTTAGAATTTATCTGTCAATATAAAATCAATGTAATAACTTACTTCATCATCAATTATAATTGGAACCTCATTTTGCTTCGTAAGATTTAAGACCTTTAAAAAATTTTATCTTTTGATAAGCACCACATTTGGTGCGTTCAAATGTAATGTTTCAGAAGTTTCATCATTTAAAAAAAAGGTAACAGAAAACAATGGGTTCGTATTAAAAGTGGTATTGGTTATTTTGCCTTCGGTAGCTTTCCAAATAATATTAAAGGAATATTTTATAAGTTCGTCTCTATTTTCTACCGTCTCAATTATTTCTTGACAAATTATTTAAAAAATCAATCTACATAAACAATCATATTTATAGATGTTTTCTAAATGATGTGATCATATTTTTAAACTGATTTTTAATATGACTAACTTGAGAGAATTCTATTTGATTATTATTACGACTACTGATTAAGATATTTTATTCTGATTCTGTATATAATGAAATGTTTCTGTTTGTGCCTAATAAATAATAGATCATAAACTTTGTTTATATGAGTGTAAAGAATAAACAGACGAAACTTAAACATCATTAAATAGATATATATTTGAATAAAATCTATTTTAACTATGCATACAACCTTGATTTATGTCAGCCATTGTTGTGATTTTTGTTCTCAAAAGTGCTTTAAATTGCACAAAAAAGTCTTGAAATGATCAATAACAAAAGTTACCAGTAAAAAATTTTGACCTGTCATTTATTGGGGTAGTAACTATATGAAAATACTCTGAAAATTTCTTTTTCTCTTTTCCTTTATCAACTTTTTTTAGGTTTATCATTATTATTATTACTATCTTTATCTGAACTATTTTTAAATTCAGATTGTTGTTGTTCTTCTTCTAAAACAACTTTTTCTTTTAGATCTGTTGCATCTTGTCTTTTCTGTTGAACTTCTTTTTAATAAAGTATCAAAATCAACAGATATTATTTCTTGGAGTTCTTCTTCTTCTTCTTCTTCATAAATCATATAAACCTCTAATCCAAGAACCATCATTTTCTCTATGAACATTGCCTTTATATTTTAATGCTAGTCTTATTTCTTCTATCTTGTTCTTCTTGTTCTTTATTATCCTTACTATTAATTTTCATATTATCACTTAAAATACTTAAATTTTAACATATTGATACTATTTACAATAAAAATTTTAAAACTCTAGCATTTCAATTTAAAATGTTAAGAGGTGGATACTTATGATTCTGACTGTATTTAGCAAAACTACAAGTACTACGTAGATATTATATGAAACATCATTATCACATGACAATAAATATCCTTTTAAAATCGACATTGCTAAAAACCGAAATTATAATTAGAGTGTCCAGAATTCTGGGGTGCATAATTCTGCTCGCTCTAAAAATATCTTTTTGTATTGTATTAGTTTTTAAAAAGTAATTAAAGTCACGTTTTTCTTACGTAGACAATACAAAAAAATATTTTTAGAGCAAGCAGAATTATGCACTGCAGAATTCTGGACACTTTAATTATAATCGACTCAAGTCAAGTCGAATTTTTAAAATCAATATGGTTTATTATGTATTTAATTTATTTGTTATACTAATTTACGTATAATATTTATCTTCAATCAAAGAGTTCAGTAAATCATAAATGATAAACCTTTCCCTTGGTGTCACTTAATTATTGTAATTCCAGATATCAGAATGCTCTCTTCAAAAAACGTTAGATCTTTCAAATAATTTAATTTGCTACTTTGAAAGATTGAAAAGATATAGATAAAAGGACATCTCTTCACAAAAATGCTACTTAGGAGAATAGATAAATATTTATTTCTTTAGATAGAAAAGTGTTAAGAGACACTATTAAATAATTTATTTTTGTCATTTTTTATTGTTTATTTTTTAATAATTACTGCATTTATATTTTTTTATTATAAATAAATATTTTAGACGTACCTGAAGCATCCATGAGATTTTTTAATCAAGCTCTAAGTAAAGTTGTAGAGGAGTGTCTTAGTCTCATCACTACATGTGACAAAAGGGGTGTGCTGGACAATCTAAGATTTGGGGTAGTCTTTTTTTTTCATAGTTGAGTAGAATTAAGGAGCAATTTTTGTATTATTTACTTCCTGGGGAGTAGGGTGTCTAGAATTCTGCGGTGCATAATTCTGCTTGCTCTAAAAATATTTTTTTGTATTGTCTATGTAAGATAAACGTGACTTTAATCACTTTTTAAAAACTAATACAATACAAAAAGATATTTTTAGAGCGAGCAGAATTATGCACCGCAGAATTCTGGACACTCTAACGATAAACATGAGAAAATTTTCCAAAACAGGTAAATAAAAAGCCACAACTTTAATTAAATTAATGTCTAGAAAAAGTGATTTGATTTGTAGATCTACTTTCTATATTTGTAAACCACTTTTTAGCATGTTTTCTGAATAATCCTCTTTTAGTGATAAATAACTATGTAGAAATTCCTCGGAAAAAAGGAGTAATATTGAAGATGAGTGTTGATTTTTTTCTAATTTTTTTTTTATAGCAAGAATGAATCATAACAATCCTATTATCTGTTTTATTTCTGATGAAGTTAAAAATATCCAAAAAGGGGAAGGAACTTGATGATGCTGTTGTTGAAGTTTTGAGGAGCAAAGACATAGATTGCATGGGTACAGAATGGGTTTTCACTGAGTTTGTGCAAAATGTTGTGTATCTGAAGTTACGCTGCCACTATTAGTGTAAATTATCTGGGAATTGAAAGCCCTTCATGGCCACAGTTTTGGCCATGAACGTTCTTTCCAGTTTCCGATGTCTATAAATCGCTAGCGCCTGCTGGATTTATGGTAAATAGGATACATAAACTATCGAATTGAAAGCTCTTCGTGGCCATGTCTTTAACATGAATGTTCTTCTATAGTTTTAAACGATATACACATACTCAAGGTTATTTATTTTATCAATTATATAGAAAAAAGAATGATGGGGGAGTTGATGTTATGGGAAAATTATTTGGTATGCCATTTGTTGTGCAGTGTAAAAATTGGGAATCGCAACAGATAGGTAGATATTTTTTTTATTCTTTTTGAATTATTAAGCAAAAATAGTATTTATTAGGTTTATATTTTATAGGCCCCTCGATTGTGCATAAATTGATAGGTGCACTTGACCCGTATCCTTGAAGTACAATTGGCATTGTAGTAATTCCATCAAAAATTAGATATAACTATTGAAAAAATAATTAGGAATGTGGATATACGCCTGGGGCGTATGATACAGCAATGAAATCAAGTTGTGAAATTATTCTCATGGATATAAGTGATATTTTTTTAAATCTCATTCAAACAATTCTTTATCAAATATCCAAACAAATTGATTTTCTCACAGACCGAGTAAATGAATATAGGTTTTTATCTCTGAGTAATTTACTTTCATTTACTTTTTTATTTTTTTTATTTTTGTTTCTATCTCCTATTTTGTGTTTTTTTTTCTATTTTTTATTTAGAAATTAATCTTTATAATAAGTAAATTTTAATAATTAGTATTATCATAATAACTGCAAAGAAAATTAACAAATTTACTAACAAATTTTATTTTCTAATTACATGAAAAACTTAGTATTGCAAAAAAAAAAACATGAATCAATATTTCCTATTCAAGATATATATCTACTCTAATATTAGTAGAAATAATCTTGTTTCAGAAGTCGGGAAAGCTATAACAGATGCTCTTTGCAAGGATACTACACTAATTTCATTAGATATTAGTAGTAATAAACTTGATTCAGAAGTTGGAAATGCTTTGGCTAATGCACTTTCCAAGAACACTACACTGACTTTCTTGACAATATACAAGAAAATATGCTTGGTGACTATGGAGAAAAGGCCTATGCTAATATAGTGCCTTTGATACAATATTAAAATTTAACATAGAAATGTAAAAAAGTTTTGGATCGCATCATTTAAATTATTAAATGCATTTATTTTTTAATAATTGATTAATCTTTATTAACCGATTTTATCTGTTTTCTCTTCACATAAATAAATGATGAATTGTAATATATTGTAACACACATTTCTTATAAATGTGAATAAAAAAATGAACACTTTATATCTAAACAAAAATGAGAATCTGAAATTCTAATAGTGTACACTGCATGCAACAATTGTTGTGCAAAAAAAATTTGGTGTGGTGTGATTATCATTAACCTTGTTACCAATGCAAATATTGCAATATCGAGTGCGAATACGAAAAATTCTGCAAGAAACACGGTCCCAAACCTTGACCAAAAAAAAAAAAAAATTAATGACCACATTTGTTTAACAACCAAATAGGAATTTTATACTTTACATATAATGAAAAATGAAATATTAAAATAAAATTGACTGCATCAATAACTAGTTTTAGAAAGCTTTACTCAATTTCTATTATTTTTGAAGAATTGAAACAAGAATTATATTAATAAAACTTAGAACAATTCAAAAAAAGACCAAT